CTTTGTCCTACTACTCCCATAATGGGAGATTTATTAAAATTTGAATTAATTTGAATAATTAAAGCATCATGGTAAGTACTAGTTCTAATATCTGGTCTTGCCTGTGTCATCGGTAAATGCAAATCAGAATGACTGATAAAACAGCGCCGGCAAATATGTCCACTACTGAACGAAGATTGAAACCGTCCAATTTGATGCGCTCCTAAGTTATCCGCCACCATGGTGGAAAAAGAAAACATGATTGAACGACCATTGATTACCAGCCCATGTTGTTGTAAATAATTGAGATTTTCAATTATTGGATCGAAAAAGCGTTTTGCTTTTATATCATCCTTAAGAAAGCAATTCACAATAGAATAATATTCAAATCAAACAACATAATCAGAATTTCGACCAATATCGACAGAGAAAAATATGGACAACAATAACACATCAAAATGAAAGAGATTTAAACTGTTTTTAATATAATGAAAATAGTTTGTTAAGTAATTGTATATGTTTATATACAAGCTTTACGATGAGTACAAAATCATGTGCAATATGCAGTCCATAAAAATAATTAACCATTTTATCATTGGAGAAATTTTACCTTAAGTATTTCACTTGTACAAATTCCAACAAGATGAATATGTTCTAATTGAGAGCAATGTTCATTTCGAATATTCTCCAGGGAGAAAAAAAACCATACACATTTTGTGGTTGTCTTTTTTACAGTCAATTGGATTAGTTAGTCCAATATCGTCTATATATAATTGAATTAATAAACTATTATCATCAATTCGATTTCCAAAATGTCCATGGCGGAACGAAAACATAAGATCTTCGTCAATAAAAACTTTTTCTTGCTGTTGTTTTATATTATTAAGAATTTGATCAATAACATGATCATTATGTAGAATTGATTTGATTGTTTCATCAATTGGAACGTAATAAGTAACTTGTTTTGTTTCACCAGGATTTGATAAAGTAATTTCTTTAGGTGGACGATAAAAAAAATGTTCTTCACAAAATTGTTGGAACTGGTATTCATTGCGACTAACAGTTTCCACTGCATAATATAATTCATTAATTGTTTTCTTAGCAGTATCAATATCAAGATATGCTTTTGTTGAACCAGATGTTGGTTTTGATGACAAATTATTTCCAGTAGCATTAAAATCATTACGCATAATTTGTTGTTCAAACAGAGACTGTAAATGATGCAATAATGTAACAATATAAGTTGAAATGGAATTAATGGTAGTTTTCGGTACAAGATATTCTTCACGTAATTGCAACATAAATAATGCGAATGATTTTTTAATATCCAATATAGATATAGAATCGTCATTGTGATTGAAAATTCAGTCAAATAAATTAATTGGATCAATGTGATCCTCTTCTTCATTCGTTGTGTTAAAATCATTAGTATCATTGATTGGACCAAATGGTAAAATATTATTAACATAAGCCGGTTCAACAACATCGATCTTATCATTCGATACACGTAATTGATCGAAATGATTACGATAAATATGAGATTTGCATCCTGCATACGTATTATAAGAAACTCCACAAGATAAACTCAAATTACACGTAATTTGAAATTTAGATTCACTTTGATGAAAAAGAGTGATATGTCGAAAAAACTTTAAAAAAGTTTTGAATTTGCTATCGTTGAAGCAAAGAGGACAAACAAATAATGACATGATAGATTGAAATGAAAAAAAATACTTCAACCAAATCGTTCTATATATATATTAGATATACGGTGTTTTTCGTTTCGACGTAAAATATCAACAACAACCGACCGTTTAATCTATAGGCATCGACACATAATAACGATAACAAAAATCGAAATTATTTCTTTACTACAATATTTTATTGTATATGAATAAAATCGGCTGAAATAGACAAAAAAAGGCAAAGAATAGAAAAGAAAGTTCGTGTAGAAGCGACTTAACGTATTTTTCCATTGACTTTTTATTTGTACTTAAAAATTAAATAAATCAGAACAATTATTTTTTCTTATGCTAAATATACTGCGAATGTTCGTTTTATTCACACATAAAGAGAAAACAAATTCACTGACCTTCAAAAAGTGGTATAATACCATCATCATTCATAAAAGATTTGCACCATTTAATCACTTGTTCACACGTCCAATTCATATTGATAAGAAGAATAACAATCTAAACAAAATATTCAAATAGATACAAAAAAAAAAAAACGTATATTCGAAGTTTGATATTTCATATAGATGTATACAAATGAACTGATCTACACAAGATCACTTGAGAAATGTTTGCACTAACGAAGATTTCTATTTTTCAATATAGAATCGACTCAGACTGAATCGAATATAAGTTTAGTAGATATTTTTCTCTAAACAGTGGATCAATTCTTTTATTCAATTAGATGCAAAGTAGTTATCACCTTTTATTTACACACAGCCATATTCATCTATATAAATGTATTATCCTCAATTCTTTCTTTTCTACCAATAGATAATACCGTCGTATTCGAATATATATTTCTGACGACATTCGTCTATTCATAATTTTATACAACAGATGGTGCTCTTCATCTATATAAATAATTCACATTTTCAGTATACGTGAGATATGATTTGTGAAATATTAACTGTATCCGCAACAGAAGTCATTCGCCTTGTAAAAATTGTGAACACTTTTTAAATCTTAATTTGGCCATTTTTTGTATTATAATTTTCTCCTTTTCATAGATTCTATTTATATCGCGCAACCGAATTACAAATAGAAAATTTCATAAAAAAAATTCATCTGATATATTACTATTAGAAATGTAAAAACTATATAAACGACATAATATAATTGGTTCTTACGTTTACTGGATTCACAACCGTATTTTTTGATGAATAATAATCCTAATCTACTAGTTTGCATTATTTTACCATCAATCTTATTTCAAAAAATCTTTTCGTTAGAACAAGGAGCATGACTTTATTTTTTTTCTTTATAATAAAGAATAAAGTAACGAATATCGTTATCTTTATTTTATAAATAATATAGGTAATCTTTATTATAAAAATAAAGACAAAGATAAACTTAAAAAAGAAAAAATCAAAATAAATAATAAAATAGATATTTTCAAGTAATCGGTAAATAGATAAATAATTCATATAAAGCGATTTATAGAAAAAGCTTCTCTTTAGAATCTTTTTTAGCCTATGTTCTTATAATAGTTCACGACCTATTTGAAAAAGATAAAATTATAGATACTTAAGAAAAAAATTTCTTTATTCTTTATTTCAACTTCATTTTTTTGAAATAAAGCAAATTTTTAATTATTTTTATTTTATAAATATAAATATTTACTTTATTTTTTCATTCTTATTTTTGAAATATAGATTATCTTCATTCTTAATAAAATAAAGATAATTATTTACTTTATCCTTATTCATAAAGAAAAGATAAAGTAACATCTCTGGCTACAGCCGTAAATCGTTGATTTCTCAATCATATTTGCAAAAACCTTTTCGATGCAGCCGTGTAATACTATACATTTGATTGTGTTTGCAAAACCCTTTTGATGAAACTGTGGATTACCATACCATCAATAGTCTTTGACAAAACCTTGTTGATGGAGCCGTGCAGCATTATTCCCTGGGTCGTATTTGGGAAAACGAATTCTTGGAAACCGTGGATCATTCTACCTCATATCGTATCTGAAAGAACGTTGGTCTACAGATATGATGAACAAAAACCCTTTAAAATCTCAAGAATGGTCTACTTCAAAAACCCACGATTATATCAACGGTTTTTTCGTATATGTGACGTCTATAAACCCTTCGAAGGTTTATACAGTGTTGAAGAAAAGACAAGACTTTTGTACTATACTATTATTTTTTTCAGTGTATCTGAAGCTGTGATCGAAATTTATAAAATAAAAGCTAAATACTAAAAATTGACTTGAAAGTTGAATTTTTCAATTTTTAGACAGTTACAGGCTATTATATCACTCTTATTTTTTATTCTACAAACTTTGAGCATAGCGTCTGAAAGAGCAGTCAAAATTGAATACAGTTGGTATTAAAATCCATTCAATGCTTACAGTTGCGTAAAACTAGGATTGGTATTTTATACCGTGTAAATCAATTCATTGAATTACTGACTCAAAATCACGATATACTTAGTCATACGAGTTACCGGATGAACAATAAGTTCTTAAGCCACTTGTGTTCAGTTCTGAATGCTCTTTCCAGATCTATTGACAGATATAATCTATATGAACGTATACGTCTGAAAATCTTTTAGAATTGATCAAAAAAAGTTGAAAAATTCGACTTTCAGGTAGATTCTACGTAAGTGAAATAAGCAGCCGATTCGAGTATTTCCATCGGTGATTCATCTATGAGCCTGTTCCAGTGGTTCTACTGCTTGTTCGAAATACAACTGAACGAGCCCTATCGAATGGTGTGCTTAGATTTTTCGTAGCTCAAAATAAAAACTTTTCGATCTTCGTGGCGCGATTTTTAAGCTAAAAATTTTTATTTTGAGTTACGAAAAATCTAAGCACACTATTCGATAGAACTCGTTGAGTTGTGCTTGGAACAAGCAGTAGAACCACTGGAACAGGCTCATAGATGAATCGCCAGCGGACATACTGGAATCGGCTGCGGAGATTTCACCTAAAAATCGCAGTATTTTGAGCTTCTTTTGAGTTCAGTTGGAGCTATGAAAAATCCGATTGCACTATTGTATAAAGCTCATCAAGTTCTATTTAGAACCTGCCTAAAATCATCGGAACCAGTTGCTAAGAGAATCGCCGGTGGAAATACTCGAGTCGGCTGCTCAGTACACCAGGGTGTAAATTCTTTAGTATTTTCTTTTTAGCTCCGAAATTTCGATCACAGTTTCAGATAGAGCAAAAAAACTGGTCATGATTGATGCAAACAATTAGGAGTCAGTTAATCTCTTAGTAAGGAAAATTGACATTTTTCATATCATGTTCTATATATATATTAAAGCTTTATTTGAAGGCTATGAGCGAGCTTCACTCCTGTAGCCGATGTGAACAAAAAAAACCATTTTTAACAAGTATATACGACATGATTAACTAGGTTTGAAATAAAATATCACTTTAAAATAATGTTGAAAGAATAGTTTGAAAAGATAGATAGAGTAGAGAGCAAGAAAGAAGGAAAGATAAAGACAAATTAATTTTGTGTGAAACACAGTACATGATCAAATAATGATTGTCGCTTTTGTTTTATTCTATTTGTTATATTTTTTTGAATTCTTCCTCGTTCGAGAATTTCTCTTCTTTGTTCTATCAAAGATGGATTTGTCAAATATTCATTGAGGAAAATGATCGACAATTTGTGTTGCAAAAAATCTTCGATAACGCTTGGATTTGTTTCTAGTATTGTACAAGATAGTTTGTTCCAATGAATGCGAGATAGTTCTTCAGTTGTTCGATATTTTGGTTAATGTTCTATCTCAATATTTCTAGCATCATACCAATTATGTATAATTCTAAACATTTGTCTATGTGATCCTTCAAGTTGTTTCTTTTTATCTTTTGCTAGTAGTGGATAAATGTTCAGGATAGATAGTAGATGTGGTCAGATGAATGCATTGTAGAGACAATAATTGACTCTTTCGCTCATCATTCGACTGGTTGCAAGTCTTTTGAAAACATTTGTATTTAATCGTATTTTTGATTTGATGTAATCAAGATGCACTGTGAAAGATAGCTTAGCATCAAGAATTGTTCCAAGGTACTTAATTTGATTCAAATGTTCAATCTTGTGTCCTTTGCATTTTATTGTAGGTATTTTAGGATTTCCTTGACGATTAAATAGTGTCCAGTACGTCTTGTCATAATTAATTGGTTGTTTCCATTGGGTAGAATATTTTATCAAACGTTTTAGTATTTGTACTAGTTGTTTCTTAAGTGATTTGATAATCTTCTTTGGTGATAGCGCTGCTGATGGTGCAATCGATACCGCCAAATCGTCCGCAAACAAGTGCTTCCAATGGATAGTCGACAGAGATTCGAGTAAATTATGATGGTAGACAATGAATAGCACCGGATCGATGCAACTTCCTTGTGGTACACCTTTTGAGAGTTCGAACGTGGATGAAATTGTACTTTTTATACCAGTGTAGGCTTTTCTACCACATAAGTAATGTTTCAGCCAAGCTATTATATATAATGGACAACTTAACTTGTTAAGTTTTAGCCATAAGCCATTAAACCATAATTGATTAAACGCAGAACTAAAGTCTACGAAGAGTGCAGCTGCAGCTGTATTCATTGATAGGCTTTGTCCAATTTGATCTATCATAGATACTAAACGTACGGACATGTTGTGTTTTGGCCTAAATCCAGTTTGTTCTGGTGGAAGTATTGCAAAATCATCTATCCATTTGCGAAAGTGGATCAGAAAACATTTTTCAAATAGCTTGGAAAAGCACGCAAGTAAAGAAATCGGTCTTGTTTTATCAATAGTTGTTGTCTTAGATTTTGTTTTGGATAATAATATCATTTTTGCAATGTGCCAATGCGAGGGTGTCTGCAAACTGGTAGCAAACTTATTCATACATATAAGAACTATAGATAAATGATTCGGTGGAAGCAACTTGATGATTCTATTAGAAATTCCATCTACACCTGACGAATTTTTATTTTTCATTGATGCGATAATTCTATTTAGTTGCTGGTAGTTGATATTCATTGGATTAGAAGGCTTGTTTATCAAGATTTCATCTAGTTCTATCAAGTTTATGCTTGTTTCAATATCAGTATCTGTATGTGTAGATTGATGATCGGTAAATTGTTCTTCATAGTAATCTTTTGCAATAGCACACATTTCTTCTGGTGTAGTAATAGTGTTGTTGCTAATAATGAAACCTTCAACTGGTGAAGATTTTGAGTGGAAATGTCGTTTTGCTTTTTGCCAGAAAGATTTCGTATCACAATCATTGAACAATCCACAATAATCAAGCCATAACTTTCTTTTATATTAAAAAGTGTTTTTTGTACTAGTTTCGTTGTATCTCTTAACATCATTGCATAATAGGGATGATAAGTTCGTCGAAACAATTTCAAATATAAATGTTTTTCATTAATTAAATTTCCTACATGTTGTGGTAATGATGGTTTAAAAGTCTTCTTGAATGTAACATTGGTGAAACGTGCTAGACATAGCCATAAAAACCTTTCATAAAGTGTGAAGAAATCAGCTGAATGAGTCATATCTTCTGCAAGTTTGTTTCAATAACTACCAGTAAAAGTAAGAAATACTTCAAATAATTTCCAATGAGTTCGTTTGATTGGATACCTTTGATGTGCAGTAGATATTTTAATTGTGGAGTACCAAATAACTGGATGGTGATCATTACCAATAGACGGTAATACTGAGAATGAATTAGATGACATATGCGACGGTACAATAATTAGATCAATCGTTGCGTTGGAGCGAGTTGACGTTGGAATAAATTTATTAATGATATCCATTGTTGAACGCGTTTGTAATGTAGACAACCAATTAAATAAAGTTTTTCCTTTTGGATTTTGTATCGAGCGAGACCAAGACTTATGTTTTGCGTTGAAATCTCCAGTGATGATGGTATTTTCATTTTTTCGTAGTATTCGATCAAAAATATCAAAAGGGATTTTTTCATGTGGTGGTGAGTAACATGTGACTAATTGAAATTTATTTTGATCCATACCTATTTCTAGTGCAATCAAGTTCGGTATATTGTCAAATTCAACTATTCGTTGAGTATGAATTGATTTATGTACAGCAACTAAAACACCTCCAAATATATTTGTGCCATTGATAGAATAAACATTAAAATTAAAGAAATGTTTCGTAAATTTTTTAATCGATTTTTCATCATGATGTGTTCCATTTATTGTAATGATTGGCGGGGAAGTAGAATCAATAAGATTAAACGTTTCATCCATGTAATGATTTAAGCTAGAAACATTGAGTAATAGTATTGAAATATTGTCTTTAATATTTAACATCGATAAAGTTTTATCACGATAGTTTGACCATTTGTCTAACAAATGATTAAGTGTTGGAGTACTAGTCCATTCTTCGAATATCATTTTAAAAGTATTTTCTTCGTGTTTTGTAAGTTGATTAACATTGATAAGAAATGGTTTCTTTTGTTTTGGTTTAAATTTAGCTGCTGTTGGATTCATTTGAGGTTGACCTGGATAGAATAGGTTTTTCATTTTGTTTTATATCATGTAATTCGACTATATCTTCATATTGTTGTTTGAATTTCATAAATACTGGACGTAATTTTTCTTGTTCAGTTTGCTTTTTTGCTCCTAAAAAAGCTTCACTTAAGTTAAAAATATAAGGGCTTACTTTGTCAAAAATAAATTCCTTAAGTGAGGCAAGGTCCTTTTGCCATGTGTTAATTAATCGAAAAGCCTTGGTAGTATTCGCATTCATATTTGTTTGTTCACTTGTAATTTGTTCCATTTTACTCATAATTTGGTTCAATTTTTTATTGATATCAGATAATGCATCTGGATATTCATTTGATGCTATATTTTGAATTGGAGTATATAATTGAGCTTGTGCATGTTCTTTTTGAGCGTTTGTTGCCCATGCACTAGGAGCATCAGTCGATTTAACATATAATACTTTGTTATTGTTGTTGTTGATAGTTGGTATGGTTTTTGAGAGCTGTTGATATTTCCTTCGTTCTTCTACTTTAACTGGACAGCTTGGACTACCAGCCATATGGTTTTGACCACAGTTTGCACAACAAATTTTATTATTACAGCTAGCATTAAATGGATGGTTTGAACCACAACGAAAACATTTTGGCTTGTCTTTAAGTAGACAATTTGCTGTAATATGATCATTGTATTGTTGACAATTAAAACAGCGTAGTACTTTTGCTGGTGGTGAATATGGTTGGATCACGAATGAAGTGTTTTCATCATCTAAGAGTAAGCGTTTGTTTAGAATGATTTTCTTTACTTCTTGATTGGAAAAGAAATCAATTCTAACTTTAGAGATTGGTATACGATCTTTAACATAAAGTCGTTCAACTTTGATGATTGTTGGATATTGTTTTTTGATGTCGGATTCAAGTTGTTCTCATTTCCATTGAGCAGGAACACCAATATCTACAATTGAATAAGATGTTGGTACTTTTGATGGGGAAGTAATTTCATAATCTAAAGAACATATCTGAATTGGCCATGTTGTTTTGTCCATCAAACGATCAAATTGTTCACTACTATTGGCATATAGAAGAAAACATTTATTACTACCAGTAGATGAGTAACGACCATATGAAAGTCCAATACGACAATGTTTGTTAATATCTTTGATGATTGATAATTCCGATGGTGTACTATCAGCTACAAAGGTAATCCGAAAAGGCGGAAACGTTGAACGTGTGGTTGTCGAGTCTCCGTGGCTTACTGCAGTACGAGATGTCGTTGGATTTAGCTGTTGTTGTTGTATTGACCGAGAGCCAGCGCTATTTAAGTATTGGTTACGTGTATTAACCACACGATGTTCATGTTCAAATGAATCATCACCTTCTTTTGTTCTTTTGATTCTATTTTGTTTTGTAGATGTATGTTGTTCTGTTGTTGGTGTAGTTGCGGAAACCGAATTCTCTTCTATTTGATTGATATGTATCATATTCGTTTTATGAGGCATAATGCCACTATTGCTCATCATCAGTAATAAATGGAATTAATGATGATGAGTCACGTCACTTAGTATAGTAACAAAAACTATACCCGTGTTAGACAGGAAAGAAAAATAGATAGCAGTTAAATGCGACTATCCGCTATTACAACAAAAGGATGAATGATATCATGTTCTAGAGATCGAGGCATCCCTTTAAAAAAAGGTACAGTTTATTTTTACTATTTTTCTGCTATTCTGCTGGCATCGATTGATGTCTTCTTTCATAAACTCACTTGAATATTAATATGGATGTCCCATGTTATTAATGAAGATACAGCGTCACGTTACTTCATATTTTAATTCGTCAAAATCGTATATGATGTATAATAAGAGTCACTCACTATATACACATACATTTTACACGGTAAAGAAAAAGGAAATCATTGAAGCATGAACATATAACCAGAGAACAGTTAGTAACTTTTATCGTATACTCACCTCTACTAGTGTATCGTGCAGTGAACAGGCACGTGGAAATAAATAAAATACTTTATACGATACATATAATACTGGAATGAATAAAACGTGGATGATATTATACTGAATTTTTTTGTCGTTTTTTTGTATTCGTGGTTAAATAAAGTTCGATAGGGCGACTAGTACAGTGTATTTTATTTTTTTTGAAGGGTTGTCAGCAAAAAAAATCGATTTTTTCGATAGTCTCATCTAATTGATTTTTTCTTATACGTCATAATAGTACCATAAGCAAGTAAAGCATGTATAAATTTATGGCAGGTTCGTTAGATGAAATAACAATACTTTTTACAACTATACTCATTTCTTCTACTTGTATAGATATATCGACGATATATTTATGACAACAAATCAATCATTAGATAAAATTCGAATTGTATTAGAAAAATCTAAAAAGAAAGATATCAATATAGAAATTGAATCTATAATTGATGTGACAGTTAATTATCTTGATGTCACCATTGCAAATGAAAATGGTTATTTGAGAACATGTGTTTATCATAAACCAACAGCTCAACCATATTATTTAACATATACATCAGATTATTTACATAAATATCATCGTAATATACTATATACTGCATTAATATGTGCTGAACGTTTATATTCAAACATATATGATTTTAATTCAGAACGTCTTCACATTGATATGTCACTATTACTCAGCCAATATCCACCAAAATTTATTTCTAATCAATTTCTTCGATTTTTTCAAGTCAATAATGCCATGCCTGTATTTATAGAACTTAACCAGCAAGTTTATCAACGATTACATCAACAATTACTAAATCGAGTAACAGAAGAAGAACAGATATTACATAATGGAATGAAAGATCCTGTAACAAATCCAGCAATATTAGAAAAGAAGCCTTGGAATCGATCAATGATGTATTTACGATATGCGTATGAAGCGGGACCTCGTGCTACATTCTCTAATGAATTTTACTCATGGTGGGAAAAAGATTATCTTTATCCAGGATAGAAAATGAAAAATATCAAACTTTGACCAATACCAAAAACCAATCGTACACTAGCAGATTACTTCATACACAAGAAACCTCCACGCCATATGTTAAGAATTACCGAATCATGCAACAAACAAGAATGAAAAAGAAGATTTCATGAACATAACGTTCACTCATAATAAATACATTTCCACCTATTGATCAAATTTTGCATAAATACAATGACCATCAACTCATACTGCAAAAATAAACTATTATAAGTTATTTGAAATTTATTCTCATTTTTTTCCTTCAATATTGTAGATATTTTAAGAAATAATCATTAGTCCATAATAGCAACCATACAATTAATGTTACACAATAATATCAACTATCAATCAATGATAACAACGTGATTCAAAACCAAAATATCACACTGAAGAAATCAAACAACGATATAGTAAAGTACTAGGTAAAAAAGATCGCGTCATGTGCTGATTTGAATTTCTTGTCTTTTTCTATATATTTTATGGAGGCAACAATCCTTATAATAATAATATTTATCTAAACCGACCGTTTTATGGAGGTAATTATCCAAATCCATCAATATCAAATTATGAATTTAATAATCCTAATTATTTGCTTCCATTATCATTTCCCCCTTATCGTTATTGGAATTATCCATATTATGGATTATCGCAACGACTACGATGATATAATAATAATAATGGTTATCGTAATTATAATCGTGGTAATAACAATAATTATCAACAGCGACAACCAAGAAACCAACGTCAAACAACAGCAGCATTTAGACGTAAAAATAGTCGAAATCGTCAGCAACAAAATCAAAATCAAAATCATGTTGTGATCACTAATCGATATGCTGCTTTAACTTAAGATGATATGGAATCATTACCTATTAATAATAATAACAAGAAGAAGAACAATATAAATAATGATACTAAAACAAATAAATGATCATATTTAAATATGAATTAAATTACCCAATGGTTTAGCAATAATCCAGAAATATAAGAGATTATAAAAGGTAGTGACAATCACAGTTTTGTTATAAAAGCTACTCCAGTCTATGATGGACGGATTCGAGTAGATTATGAATTACAAGTATGGAAAAGTTACTACAAATTAGCTACTGAACATAAACATTGGGCTAAAGAAGTAGTTGATCGTACAAAAAAACGTGATGAACATGTCAATTTACCTTTCATAGAAAAGAAAATTGATCAAGCTTGTACGAAAATCAATGACATACAAATACATTTAGCTACCTATTGGTTACAAATACCAACTGCATCAGCAGCAGTAGCAGCAGCGGTGGCATCGATTAATACTACTACCAATAGTAATAAAAATGTCTCGAATCGTACCAGAATTAAAAACATTGAAAAATTATTAACCGATTATATTAAAGAAAACATTCAACGTATCAAGAAAATGTCTGCAATTCGTCTTGAAATAGTAAAAATAGAAAAGGACGAATATAAAAACTCCATTACAATCAAAGATAAAATTATAGCGTATAATAAAGAAAAATTATCATACTACAACAAAACGTTTACAAATGAATATATTTCCAAAACTTATTGCAAAAACAAATTTTCAATTTAAATTTCATGAATCTATTCTTGATAGACATGAAATACAAGGTAGATATGATACCGAATTATTAAAAAATGAAATTACACAGTTGATTCAAGGTTTTCCAGCAGACGATTCTAATTAAATAAGCTTGGAAACATTCAAACGTTATCATGAATTACGTGAAAAACGTTATGAATTACTACTTGATCAAGAACTTCATTTTTTAGAGGAACAGCGAGTCGAGAACGACAACAATCTGCTACCACAAGAAGCGGTCGTAGAAGAAACAATCTCGACTCATGTTCGCTCATTAGGAACCGAAGTATCAGTCCTAATATAATTAATCAAGCATCAAATACAATCAATCTAACTGAAGATGAACAATATTTATTACGATTAGGTCCAAAATTCATCTTCAATGATCCTTGTACAGCTGCAAGAGACGAACAAATGAATTAACTACACTTCAAAGAAAAATTGAAGCTTGTTTTCATGAACATAAAGTTAATCCAGACCATCCAGTTGTACAATTCATTTCAGAGTTAGATTTGATACTTCAAAATTTACATTCTTCTTCAACTTCAATTACTACTACTACTTCTACTACCACAACGACAACTCCAAATTTAGATTCAAATCAGTTTAAAACGAAAAGAACGATATATTATCGTAGTACAATTAAACGACTTCAACATAAATTCCGTTTAACCAATACAATTCTTCGTAAAACTGATAAATCCAAAATCTTTCACATAGGAACTGTCGAACATTATCAAAAGCAATCCAAAGACTATATGGAGCGAACAAAAGCTTATGATTGTATTGGCCAAATTGATCCATTACCAGAATTAATCAAACACACCAATAAATATTTACTTGATTTACGTCTTAAGAAATGGATTACACCAAAACAATATGAGCAATTGTGCCTTAAACAAACAGATGATATTGAATTAGCACATCTTTATTATCTGCCAAAGGCTCATAAACCTTCAACTCCACTTCGTCCAATTAAATCGGGTTTAAAACATCCGACCATCAAAATTTCCAAATATTTAGATGATCTATTAAGACCGTTATTCAATCAAATGGCTTCCAAATCAACTATTACTTGTGGTTTCGAATTGATCAAACATCTACAAAAATGGACATCAATAAACTTACGTCAAGATACAAGTTTATGTACCATCGATGTCGTTGATCTCTATACAATGATACCGCAAGTGGAAGGTGTTTTGGCATTAGAAAAAATGTTAGATCATCAAAAATTAAAACAAGTTGATGGATTAACTACAGAAACCATTATACGATTAGCAAAATTTGTAATGCAAAATAATTATTTTAAATACAAAAATGATTATTATCATCAAATTCGTGGAGGAGCAATGGGCTCTCCACTTACACTTACCATTGCTAATTGTTACATGTTCTTCTTTGAACAATCCATCATTCGACGAATTAACAATAGTTATGGCTTATACTTTCGTTATATCGATGATATAATTATTTTAATTAATTGGCCCAATCATCACTTGAAGAAAGAAATTAATCGATGGAATACTTTTGATGAAAATATACAATTATCTGATAATATTAGTAATTGTATTAACTTCCTCGATCTTCATATTGAAAATAAAAATGGTCAATTAATTACTAAAGTATATCACAAGCCATCATATCAACCTTATTATTTACCATTCAACAGCATCCATCCACTACATATGAAGGCGAACATACCATTTACCATGTTACTACGTGCAATCCGGTATTGTTCCACATTTCAAGATTACCTTGATGAACGTGGTAAATTAAGAATGGATCTATTAGTTAATAAATATCCAATTAAATTTATTGGTAAACACTTCAATCGCCTACTCCTTAAATTCAGTATTAATGAACTATTAAACATGTATAATTATAATGCATTACGACAAAAAGTTATTAATACTCCTTATGAAGCAAAAGCTCCAATTAATTATCAAAAGACATTATTTGTCCATTTTACTTACTGTCAAAATATGACAACATTCCCAAGACATTTTCATACACTTTGGAACAAATATTTTGAACAGTCTCCAATCAATGAAGTAACTCCAATACTTGGTACTCGTAATGTGAACAATTTACAAAGACAACTAGTACATACACGCCACACATAGTATAATATAATCATCTTCTCTTCTATTATCAAGTGGCTTCATCATTACTATATACAATTCGATTACTTTCAAAATAAACACAAGATGAACTATCAACTTGCTTACAATTATTTCATATTTACATAACTAATAAAAGGTAATTTATTCTTCCTTTCTTTATATATAAGATATATTACCCTTTTATTATTATTATTATTATCTACTTATTTCTTTTACTATCTAAACTCTTTATTTTTCATTTGTTTACTCAACTTATTCGTTTATTTTCTAAACTTTTTTATATTTCACTTCTCTTTTTCATGTGTTGTTACTATTTTCTCTATTATTATATATCTTTATGCAGAGCCCTGAAGAGTGTTCTATTATTTTTTAAATAAATAACATGAAACGCGTCGGCAAAGATAAACTCTGCATTTATTTATTTACTTTTATATATATTTTATCAACAACAACAACAACACATTCAATTTAATAGTTATCATTGACTTAGTATATTGATTGCTGAAAAGCAAAAGTTGAGCCCAGCAAATTGGTTTATATCTTAGTTATATAGATCCGTTTGTTTTCTATTCACACCCACACCCACACCCACACCCACATGGGACGAAATTCAAAGTCAAATAAAATTAAAGATATAAAGGTGTACAATAAAAAATCTCCTTTAAATCCAGAGAAAAACACTTCACTCGAAAATTCAAATGAAATTCTCTATTAGATAGTATACATCTTGATGGTTTTGAAGCTTTTTATGCATTTTATGATCTTAATCATCGTTTTGATCAATTTTAAATTTTCATAAAGATCAAATAATTGTAATTTATTTGGATATGTTATTATCATTCAATGATTTATTTTCATTTAATTCATCATACAATCTATTAAAAATTCTTCATCTTCATAATTGTCCATCAAAAAAATTCATTTCTTATCTTCAAAATCTCACTTATTTACCTGATCTATCTTCATTAAATCTTCAAATATGTGATCAATCAATTAACTTAAATAATATTTATCAAATTATATTAACTTTACCAAAATTAAAGATATGTAATATAAAAA